ATCGAAGTTTTAAGATAATCGTAAACATATGATATTCAAAATGAAGTGATAATATTAACCAATCAAATTACTAGTTGGTATTTTAAGAGATTGGTTGATAAGAGAAGTGATAAAATCGACCAATCAGATTTCTAGACTTTTATCGATTGATGTGTATCTTAAGATTTAAATATATACATATGAACACTGATTTGTTGATGTTAATATAGAAATAATATTCAATCAATCTGATTTTATAAAGTTAGTTCAAGGCAATGTCCTCATTTTCTATCTGTCAATAATATCCAGTCTCAAGCCCAGTAACAAATATAAGTTACTTATCAACAGTTGAGTTAATCTTGAAAAAAAACTCAAACAGCTCTGATTCATATCACAATTTTAACCAGTCAAAACGTCCACCTTCACCAACTTCACTTTTCTCTGAGATCGAAAATACTTTCTACAATTAAGCATATAACTGTTTCCTTTCCGCTACTGTTGTCCTTGTTAATCTGTATGACAGATAAGAAACAACTCTAGTTTGTATGACAGATAAGAAACAACTCTAGTTTGTATGAGAGATAAGAAACAACTCTAGTTTGTATGACAGATAAGAAACAACTCTAGTTTGTATGAGAGATAAGAAACAACTCTAGTTTGTATGAGAGATAAGAAACAACTCTAGTCTGTATTACAGATTAGAAACAACTCTAGTTTGTATGACAGATAAGAAACAGCTCTAGTTTGTATGAGAGATAAGAAACAACTCTAGTTTGTATGAGAGATAAGAAACAACTCTAGTCTGTATTACAGATTAGAAACAACTCTAGTTTGTATGAGAGATAAGAAACTGCTCTAGTTTGTATGAGAGATAAGAAACAGCTCTAGTTTGTATGAGAGATTAGAAACAACTCTAGTTTGTATGACAGATTAGAAACAACTCTAGTTTGTATGACAGATAAGAAACAGCTCTAGTTTGTATGACAGATAAGAAACAACTCTAGTTTGTATGACAGATAAGAAACAGCTCTAGTTTGTATGACAGATAAGAAACAGCTCTAGTTTGTATGACAGATAAGAAACAGCTCTAGTTTGTATGACAGATAAGAAACAGCTCTAGTTTGTATGAGAGATAAGAAACAACTCTAGTTTGTATGAGAGATTAGAAACAGCTCTAGTTTGTATGAGAGATAAGAAACAGCTCTAGTTTGTATTAGAGATAAAAAAACAACTCTAGTTTGTATGACAGATAAGAAACAACTCTAGTTTGTATGACAGATAAGAAACAACTCTAGTTTGTATGAGAGATTAGAAACAACTCTAGTTTGTATGAGAGATAAGAAACAGCTCTAGTTTGTATGAGAGATAAAAAACACCTCTAGTTTGTATGACAGATAAGAAACAACTCTAGTTTGTATGACAGATAAGAAACAACTCTAGTTTGTATGACAGATAAGAAACAACTCTAGTTTGTATGAGAGATTAGAAACAACTCTAGTTTGTATGAGAGATAAGAAACAGCTCTAGTTTGTATGACAGATAAGAAACAGCTCTAGTTTGTATGAGAGATTAGAAACAACTCTAGTTTGTATGACAGATAAGAAACAACTCTAGTTTGTATGAGAGATAAGAAACAACTCTAGTTTGTATGAGAGATTAGAAACAACTCTAGTTTGTATGAGAGATAAGAAACAGCTCTAGTTTGTATGACAGATAAGAAACAGCTCTAGTTTGTATGAGAGATTAGAAACAACTCTAGTTTGTATGACAGATAAGAAACAACTCTAGTTTGTATGAGAGATAAGAAACAGCTCTAGTTTGTATGACAGATTAGAAACAACTCTAGTTTGTATGAGAGATAAGAAACAGCTCTAGTTTGTATGACAGATTAGAAACAACTCTAGTTTGTATGAGAGATAAGAAACAACTCTAGTTTGTATGACAGATTAGAAACAGCTCTAGTTTGTATGACAGATTAGAAACAGCTCTAGTTTGTATGACAGATTAGAAACAGCTCTAGTTTGTATGACAGATTAGAAACAACTCTAGTTTGTATGAGAGATTAGAAACAGCTCTAGTTTGTATGAGAGATTAGAAACAACTCTAGTTTGTATGAGAGATAAGAAACAACTCTAGTTTTTATGACAGATTAGAAACAACTCTAGTTTGTATGAGAGATAAGAAACAGCTCTAGTTTGTATGAGAGATTAGAAACAGCTCTAGTTTGTATGAGAGATTAGAAACAGCTCTAGTTTGTATGACAGATAAGAAACAGCTCTAATTTGTATGACAGATAAGAAACAGCTCTAGTTTGTATGACAGATAAGAAACAACTCTAGTTTGTATGAGAGATAAGAAACTGCTCTAGTTTGTATGGGAGATTAGAAACAGCTCTAGTTTGTATGACAGATAAGAAACAACTCTAGTTTGTATGACAGATAAGAAACAACTCTAGTTTGTATGAGAGATTAGAAACAGCTCTAGTTTGTATGACAGATAAGAAACAGCTCTAGTTGGTATGACAGATAAGAAACAGCTCTAGTTTGTATGACAGATAAGAAACAGCTCTAGTTTGTATGACAGATTAGAAACAGCTCTAGTTTGTATGACATTGAAGGAAACTAGTCTAGACTTTAAAACCTGCTGACTAATCATACCAAGTTGAAAGCCATCAGATACCCAATCAAATTACTATTTAAGTCCCATGGAGAAATCTAGTTATAAGTATTCACTAGCCTCTCAACAGGTTAACAAGAGCTCTGGTTTCTATCAACTAAATATCAAAAAATATATATATAAAGATTTGTAAAACTACAGAATTCATTTCATGTCGCTTTACATTAATTTTTTTTTTCAAAATACTTGCTCGAGACATATAAACACAGGCAATTAGGTCAGAGCCAATCAACACAGTTGTTTGCAAAAAGAATGGAAACGATGACACTAGATGTCAGACATGACTGGTAAATACAGTCAAATCAACAGTCTAAAGCTCTAGTGAGACATGACTGGTAAATACAGTCAAATCAACAGTCTAAAGCTCTAGTCAGACATGACTGGTAAATAAAATTGAACCACATCCCTGAGAGATTCACATTCCTACAATATACCAACTAAAAGCCAATCTATTAATAAAGAAGCATGTCTTACAGTAATTAGAATAATTAAGGAACTGGCCTGGGTTAATGAGGCGTTTACCACCAGGTGTGTTTACAGACCAGTCACCATTAACCCTGCTAACTCATTTACAAAGTTTTCTACCTGAGAATATGTCTGGTATTCTGATATTTTCACTTCAATAATACAACCTAGAACAAATACCTTGGCCACACTTTATCAATGGCTCAACTAGATGATAGGGGGCCAGTGGACTCTAGTGGGTTCCCCGCCCAGAAAATTTCATAGTTAACATATACTCCATTCTAACCCCCTCGGTAGTTACGAAAGCACAGGCTGCAGAGAAAATTCAAAAATTTGCAAGTAGCTGATATTTGTGTTAAGATTTTTGTCCAGTTATTTATTGTGGTTATTGCATGTTTGGGTCATGTATTTTTAATAAAATTGGGTTATGCTTTTTCACCAGCTGATTAAATCATTTAAAAAGTCTAAAACATGACATCATCCTTCAATTTGTAATTGTTCACTATGCAGCAGCATGGGGTCAAATTCCTTATTTTGTGGAAATTGGCGGCCATTGACAGTAAGATGTTGGACTGTATAGTTAGTATTTGGGATGACAGATGAGGCTGTGTTTGGAGTTTTATCATTATTGTATTTAGTCCAGCAGGAATATAAATATTATTAGATATTTGAATTGTTTAATACGGTGTATGTTTACACTAATACTTTTCTATTTCTAATCAAAGTATTTTGATATGTTGGTAGATGAGGGAATTTCGGTAGATGACACAAAGATAACCTTACCTCATCATCATCACATAGTGACCATTGACGCCTTAACTTCCTTTTTCTCTCCATAATTTATTTTATCAAGTCCTCCCTTGTCTTAAACTCTTTATTTTTTATTCTTTTGTCCCTTCAAATCTATTTTTAAATGCAGCGCGAAAAGTACCAATGTTTTTTTCAATGAAACTAATTAAAGATTCTTTATAAATTTGTTTCTAAACTAACACAAATTAGAAGATTAATCACAGTTAAAAAGATGTTCAGTAGATAACAACTGATGTTCAAACTAATAACACTATCAATATATATATTTAATTTTTAATATTTATAATATATCATAATAAAATTAAAAAGTTAAATATACGATGATGATATGAGTTTATTACCTTGTATTTAACGAAGGTCAGAAAAAACAAACAACTTAAGAATTGACATATTTATACTGTAGAGACTAGTTAGATACAGCTTGTCTGGGTATGGTTTTCTTTATTATATCAACTAGGACAGCCCTGAAGATATTATTACACTAGGGGAGGCCTTCCAGGGGCGAGTAAAATAATCAAAATAATCCATTATCGTCTGTATGAATTAGGGTTTCTCAGTTAAAATATTTCCATTATCTATATCCATTGATTATTGATTGATTATTGATTGATTATTGATTGGAAATCTGCTGTCGTCAATAATTATCTAAATTTGGTAATCAATACCAAGCCCTACCCTACTTTGTTTTGCAGAAGTGCACCACATAAAGAACACCCACCCCTCCTGTTCTTGGGCAAAACAAAAATCCACCTCATTGGACTAATGAAGATGGGCAATGTCATGCAATATACAAACAGGACAGTGTAATTAGCTTACTCTTTTTGGATTTCAAGATCTTTAACGTGCAGAACCTGTAGAATATGAGAGCTCAGTTTATAGTCCCGTCCGAATGACTAGATGCTATTTCAATATCAGACCAAGAAAGTAGAGTTTCAAAATTTCTAATTAATAATCTTGACAATAATCACCTAAAGTGACTGAACAAGATTTAAGGTTAACATTATCTAAAAGCATGACTGAAACAAGATTATCCAATCATAGCCTGTGAAGTTATCGAGTTATAATGACTTTTAGTAGACAATATAAATATAATATAACAATATAAATAACATGTCATCATTCATTGTTATATCCTTCTATAAAAAATATTATTACATATAAATATCATAAATAAATTGTAAATATTAAATATATCTATTAATGTCTCTGTATATCAGGTAATATACAGGTAATATACAGGTATTATACAGGTAATATACAGGTAATGTACAGACAGGTAATGTACAGGTAGTATACAGGTAATATACAGACAGGTAATATGCATGTATTATACAGAAAGCAAGTTACAAGATTATGGATCAGATCAGAATACGCCAACCTGAATCATAAAACTTCCACATCTTTCATGAAACTCGATTCAAAACTTAAGGATCTATTGCATTTCCACAAATTGACATAACAATTTTGACGCAGTCAAGGACAATAACCTTTTTTTTTTTTTACCTTTTCGCAAAGATTGGACAAGAGATATAACTCCATACAAACAAAAATATAAATATACAAATCCTGAAGGTGTAGAAAAACCATTGCTGGAGTATAGCAAACTAAATAATGGTTCTTGCCTATATACTTACAGGCCTAGTTGAGTACCCGTTACCCATATAACTAATGTTTATGATTTAAATCATCCCAGAATGTGTATAAAAACCCCAACTGGACTTGATATTTTATGCTCTAACAAACTGAATAATTAAAATCTGTACTTACATGAGAAGTAGAATGTTTACTGTCACCAGATCGTGATGTAGAGATAGAAATTACATTTCCATTTTGATCAGAATGATTCTCACCCTCCTCCTCTTGTAAGATTGATAATTTACGATGGGGACTCGGGGTAGATCTGGAAAATAAAAACCCAAAACAGGTACTTACAATCTGAACATCAAAACAAAACTTTAATTCCAATGTAAGACTTAAGCAATACACTGGAAGAGGCTAATGAACTATTCATATGAGGAAGTGTATCAATAAGTGAGTAAGTTTCTCATATTGAAAAGTGGTATCAGGTGTCTAGAAGCGTAAGCAAACCCTGCCTGGCGTCAAATATACAAAAAAAAATTATTTGTTGTTTGATATCAGATAATTTTTCCAAGTCAGTCAGCCTCGGTGACATGCAGCCTCAACTAGAAGAGACTAGAGAAAGAAGCAAGCACATTTCAAAAGGAATAACAAATGTTCAAGGACCCTTTTCACCAACTGATCCTTGGCATTGAACGGACAGGGGTGCCGACAATATACATCATAGAGAGATGTTAGCGTATAAAAATTGAACCCACCTCAATAAATTATCATTATTCTCATCTATTTCATAATCATCAATATCAAAACTGACAGACTTAACCTCTGTCTTCTGACCTTGACCTATATAACTATCGTAACCACGGTAATCCTGGAAGTCAGAGTTATCAGACAGTTCTATACTGGGGTTTAATTCTAACGCTGAATCTGGACTTCTCTGACCATATTCTATAGCAGCCTGAAAATAAAATTATAAAATTACCATCATTTACCAACCTATCAATATGCATTAGCAATGCGGGTTGCAGAGCCCTGAATGCAAGTTTTTCGGGCATACCTCTCATAACCAGGCTAGAAATTCGGGCAACCTCAGATATTTCGCCCTCCCTGGGACGTCAACCTGACTCCGCCACTGTGCATTAGCCTAGAGAATTTGGTAAAATAATTTGAATAAAAAAATAAAAATCTCTATAGCATTCACAAGCCAATATAGATAGATTTAATCAACTATAAGAAAATATAGATTAATTCAGACCTTGACAATAAGCATACCAAGTTTTATCAAGATTTTATTAAAACTGTAGTGTCAAACAATAGATCAAGGGCAATAACTCAAAAACTATTCTTTGAAAATTTGTGTTAATTGAATTGTGGTCTGACCAACAACCAAATAATGTGGACAACATTACTGTCGCTTAATTACATTTTTTTTCCTGTATGAGTTATCACTAGTTTGATGCAATCTTATTTATAAGGACAACCCCTATTAAAATAAAGTACCAAATATTGAAAATACCTGAAAACTGAGACTACGATCTCTAGCCACTGGTTCTAGATTATCCAGGTCAGTTTGACTCTCAATAGCTAGAGTATAACTAGATCTTCGGAACGCAGAAGGTGAATCTGGTTCCAGACGAATTGATCCTACACTATTGGGTCGCTGAGATTCTCGTGATGCATTTGATTGGTCAGTTTTACTACCAGGACTGTTTGTTCGATATCGGGACGAATGACGAATGAAACTTCTACGTTTAATTTGACCATTAATGCTTCGTGTTCGCCGGGGGCTGACGTCAATTCCGCTGGTACTGGAACTACTTGATGTGGTGAGGTTTGGTTGTGAACTGCGTGCTGTGTTGATGGTGTAGTAATCTGTATGTAGTGTGGGACATGATGTATTATTGGATAAAGTGTTTTTATAACACGCATCACAATGAATACGCGATGATTTGCCGTCGAAGGATGAGAACGAGGCTGGTTTGATGCCTGATTTGGTGTAGTTTCCATTGAAGAAGTCTATCGTTAATGCATCTGGAAAGCAAACATAATTTTAGTAAATTAGTGTCAGACATTTTTGCTAGAATGAAATGATTGGAGTTTTACATCCAACTAGTCAACACCTTATTAGGATATTGTTCAGACGAGTAATGGAGTGTGAAATGAGGGAAGACCGAACCATTAACCTGATAGTTTCTGATAACTCAATAAACAATAGATGTACAACCTGAAACCATCAAGGCTTCTATAATTATTCTTTCTGAACAAAGCAATGGTTTCTTTATATCTGTTCCACTGACTCCAATAATCATACTCACACCAATAGCACTAAACACTACTTTTTATGGAGTAAGCAACTTTTTTGGAAAAAATAAAATAAGCTTAACCTAAACCAGACATCCCACTGACTGATAAACCACAGCTCCAAGACATATATGAGAACTAAATCCTTTCAGGTGCAAGGCTTGACTTAAAAAATGAAATAAATGGAGTTTTAGGTCCTGGAAATTTTGCCAGGACAGAGGCATTAGCCTTTTTTTCAATTTCCAACTGTCGAGGGATGTTTAACATGCACAGCCTGTAGCACATGGGGCCGCGATTTATTGTCCCATCCGAACGACTAGATGCTTTTCCATGTCAGTCCCTCTTACCTTCATCACTGACAGGGGGAAACTGGGTTGAAAAATCTTGACTTTAAAAGGCAATAAAAAAAATATATGTTGTTAAAATATAAACATAGATTGAAACTTACCAACTAGGGGAGAGTTGGGAGAATCAGGAACATAATAACAATTCTGATCATTATCTTCCGTCTGCTCACTGATTTTCAGTGGTAACGCCAGTTGCTTCCCTTTCTATAACACACAAAATATTACAATATTGAGTGAGGCATAAGGTTAAATACATATCCTTGACATAGTGAACACCATGGGCTGTGGGCCTGTAGATTTCACAAAAATAAGTTCATAGTTTAGATAACAGTTCTTGGTCATTGTATTTGACACCAAGAAACAATGCGATTTTGAATTAAAGGGATTGTTAAGAGGTTTTCTAAAGTTTTTATGCTTGTCGGGGACGTCTGATTGAAAAATTGGAATGGTTCAAAATCAGTGCCATCAGTGTCTCTGATACACATAAAAATTAAGAAAACCTCTTTACAATCTCTTTAAGAGCCCTCCAAAACAGAGGTAAGCTATAAAGAATCTATTGGCCTTAACAGTATAACAGTGATGTCGTGGATTTGTAATTCATAATGAAAATAATTTGGATGATTTTCATTGTTAGTCTTTTAGGAATTATTTCCCCTTTCCTGTAACTCCTATCAAAAAACACATTAGATTCTTCAAACAGATATTCTTTACTTTCTTTAATTTAAGAGAAATTGACTCCCCCATGCATTTTCCTTTTAATAAACAACCTAAGTCCACACTGCAAAACGAAATCCGAAATCCAAAACAACATATTGGCCAAACATTGGTAACAGCAAATGAACTTTTCACATGAGGAAGTATTTCAATCATAACTGAGTAAGTATTTCATAATGAAAAGTGGTATCAGGTGTCTAGAAGAGTAAGCATACATTATATGATACAGTGTTGAGGTTATTAAGAAAAGTTCATTCAATAAATCAGTATGATGTTGCCAGTCAAACTCTATTCGAGCTTTGCTAAATGAGATAAAAATTAATCATCACTTACCAGAGCACCAAGAGCAGCCTGTCGTTTATAAAGACGTGATTTTAATGTTTCAATATCTTTACTGATTTGTTCTTTTAAACAATCTGTTGAAGCTGACCCCACACTAGATCTCTAAAATAGAATATAACAATTATATCCTTTTATAGTTTTTTTACCTTTTTCTATGTTTTTTGGATGTTTTTCTATATTTTTTGGATGTTTAACTAGGTTTTTTGGATGTTTTTCTATATTTTTTGGATGTTTTTCTATATTTTTTTGTTTTTTTTCTATATTTTTTGGATGTTTTTCTATATTTTTTTGTTTTTTTTCTATATTTTTTTGTTTTTTTTCTATATTTTTTGGATGTTTTTCTATATTTTTGGATGTTTTTCTATATTTTTTGGTTGTTTTTTTTTTCTATATTTTTTGGATGTTTTTCTATATTTTTGGATGTTTTTCTATATTTTTTGGATGTTTTTCTATATTTTTGGATGTTTTTTTCTATATTTTTTGGATGTTTTTCTATATTTTTGGATGTTTTTCTATATTTTTTGGATGTTTTTCTATATTTTTGGATGTTTTTCTATATTTTTGGATGTTTTTCTATATTTTTTGGATGTTTTTCTATATTTTTTGGATGTTTTTCTATATTTTTGGATGTTTTTCTATATTTATGTGTAAAACATTTTAAAAGAAAGCAAGTAAAGCTTTACATTCTATTTTTCTATATGATATTGGGCTATTGAAATTTTGCCAGGACAGCAACATAAGCTCTTTTCCTTATTAACAACTGTTGAGAGATCTTAAACATGCACAACCTGTAGCACATGGGGTCTCAATCTATTATCCTTTCTGAAGCCTAGTGGCAATTTCTATGTCAATCTCTCTAACAGATCTGCAGAACTGACAGGCGAAAGCTGAGTTGAAAAATTACTATTTATTATCTCAATTCATGCCAGGATTAGACAGAAAAGGTTTCCATATTTACTAGATGGTATGAAAAGAGGCACATTACAACGCTCGCGCACCATATTAGCAATTATACAGTAAATTTCTCACCTCAATATCAACATATTTTGATCGCTGGGGGTCTCGACATTTCTTCACTTCTGTTATCTCTTCCTCCAATTCTGTCGTTCTTACTAAAAATAAAAACAATGATTTATAACAAATTTCCATAAAATTATTCATTTTCTTATTGTGGGCCTATTTTCATCAACTTAGTTATGCCAATCAACATTCTAGTGTGCAGAATATTTGTAATGCTGTAGACTTCATTGAAATCAGGAGAGTAAGATAAAACACATAAAACCTAATTCATTTCATTCAGGTGGGCCAGTAAAACCTCAACCTTATTCATTTCATTCAGGTGGGCCAGTAAAACCTCAACCTTATTCATTTCAAGATTAGATAAAAAGTATCAAAGCTAAGACCATAATATTTTGATCTAATATTTAGATAAATATAAGAAAAACTTTAACATAATTCATTCCAGGATAATTTATAAAGTATTGAAGCCATGTCCCTAATATTTTGACCTCATATTTATATATAGACCACTTCCAATTCCTGATGAAGATTGTATATCCAAAACATACAATGGTAGCATGATAGGAGGTCTAGTCAAGTGGTATTGAAACTAGAATTCAAATAGAAATTTGGAATGTATGACTGTAAAATATCACTATAAGACAAAATAAGGTACATGCTTACATTCTGATAGGTGGCATTTCTCAGACAGATCAAGGTTAGACCTGAAATATAACAATGACATTAGTTATAAGAGAGATTAGCAACATTACTTAATAGCTTGTTGATGTGATTTGTCGAATCAAACTTCCATCAGATAGTAGACATCAGACAGAAGTTGTTCGTAGGTTTTAATCTGAGTTGGTATGTGAAAGTCAGTTGAACTTAAATAAGTTGTCTTCCCAATTCCAATCAACCCCACTAATAATCTGGATGAATCTTTATCAGAAAAAAAAATAGCAGATGTTAAACACAATGTATCTTATCTTAACCTTTGATACTACCACAGATAGTATTACAGAGACATCCTTAGTTAACATATCTAATTATCTTAACCTTTGATACTACCACAGATAGTATTACAAAGACATCCTTAGTTAACATATCTAATTATCTTAACCTCAGATACTACCACAGATAGTATTACAAAGACATCCTTAGTTAACATATCTAATTATCTTAACCTTTGATACTACCACAGATAGTATTACAGAGACATTCTTAGTTAACATATCTAATTATCTTAACCTTTGATACTACCACAGATAGTATTACAGAGACATCCTTAGTTAACATATCTAATTATCTTAACCTTTGATACTACCACAGATAGTATTACAGAGACATCCTTAGTTAACATATCTAATTATCTTAACCTTTGATACTACCACAGATAGTATAACAGAGACATTCTTAGTTAACATATCTAATTATCTTAACCTTTGATACTACCACAGATAGTATTACAGAGACATCCTTAGTTAACATATCTAATTATCTTAACCTTTGATACTACAACAGATAGTATTACAGAGACATCCTTAGTTAACATATCTAATTATCTTAACCTTTAACTTGCACCTTGTTTTATCATAAATCTTTACTTTGTGACCTAGGCCAGTGCTTTAATGAGACTATGTTCTCATCACTATCTAACACAACCTATTGTCCATATAAAATCATAACCATGTGGTTTGACCAAGGACAATAAGTTGGTATCTTTGTAATATCTCTGCCAAGAGGATTTGAACAAGGGCACGCTGGTAGACAAGATTCATCAGAGCAAAAGATGTTATCCTTATAAGATCAATTTCAACAGGTTTGGTCAAAGACTAGTCAGGAGAAATCTTGTTGTTTGTCTTGTAAAATTATTCCGATAGATTTCCCGAGAATATATTTCCCTTGCTCTTACAGAATTCAGATGAGAAATGGACTCACCATGTTAAGTTATTCTGGACATGTAAAGAACGTTTTGATGCACACTTTCCCATTTTGACTTCTTTCCAATATAGCACTTTAATTCTAAGCTGGGATATTATTTTACATTTTATTTTACAGGCAGTTTTAACAAGCACCTTGTTTTATGTATCTACTGTTAGGTCAGTAACATTATAGAATATGGCAAATTATAACACCACACTGGACTATTAGTATCATTTCACTTCAATAACATTCAAATAGCACATTGTTTTATATATCCACTGTTAGATCATTTACATATTGATTATAAACTGTTGTTGTGATAAAACTTGAAGCAAGCAAAGTCCCACAAAAACATCATACACTTGACTTCATTAATTCATTGTTTTTAAAGTAATTATTGCCACAATAAAACATAATCCATAATCCAAAATTTAACCAGTCAATTCTATTAAATCAATAAAAATTCAGAACCAATAACAGTACTATTACAATGTTTCACTTACAGCTAGATTACCAATACCACATCATAAATATATTGTATATCATTTTCAATATTGGACTTCTTCTTCACTGTCGATATTAGTTTAAATATACTATAGTTCATAAACACGTTTAAAGTACATTTTCAGTTATTATTGCTTAAAAAAAAATATTATTTTTGTTTCACTGTAGTCTCAGCGAAAAACTCAAGAGGCACATGCTTCTACGGTTGAAACATCAAACAAGATCTGAACTTCTCAGGACAATAAATCAACAAGTATCTGTACAAATTGCATAAAAACCAATTACATAACAATTGATGATAACTTGTCTCTTACAAAAAAGCATCAAGTCCCAACTTTTCGAGACAATTCTGTACAAAGCCTTCACCAACTCAAATTGAGTCTTTAACAACCAAAACAATCTATAGGTACAATGAGATATTAAAGGCCTTTAATGCTGTATCACTCTATGTTGTTGAATATTCAAGCAATAAATTGTTACCCTAAGGCAGTTATGGTCGTATATCAGGACAAAGGTTGGCTGGAAAATTGAATAAATGCGCGTTAATAGCACATTTATGATTAATTTTCCAGCCAACCTTTGTCCTGATATACCACCATAACTGCCATAGGGTAACAATTTATTGTTTATATTTACTTTTCCAAGACATTCTAATTTTGATACAAAGACTTTAGTATGAATTTAAGTAGGACCTATTTCTTTATGTTTCAACGTGACTTTCGGGACTACCAAAAAGCTTTAGTCACTCTTAAAATTTGTCTTATAGTTTTTAGCATTTGTTCATAACTCAACAGTAACAGTAGACCTAATCATAAAATTTTACAAAATCCACAAAAAATCATGTAAGCTTTAAAGGGAATATAAAGAGGTTTTCTCAAAGTGTTTTATGACATCATTATTGCAAATACACCTAATATTTTGGTGATGATAAAGTGAAGTCTTAAATGCTCAGTTTAAATAGTTGAATTGTAGGAACCACAAATATCTGATTGAAAATTGGAATGGTGCAATCAATGCTATCAGTGTTCTCAATAGTAAATACTCATAAAATGTTTAGAAAACCTCTTTACAATCCCTTTAAACCAGTAGGAAATTGATGGGTAGATTCCCTGACTGACAGTGATTATTACAGATGTTATACCACGAGTTGGGAAATAGTTTATAATATTTACTAACAACTGACAGAGTTTATCCAACCTACTCAATTCACATCACGTTAAATTTCCCTCCCGAACAAATACTGAATTAATTTGGTGGCTGGTTTTTATTGATTGAGATTTGTCACTACAATCAATTATTTGAATAATTATAATGCCAGGACAAAAACTAAATTAATTTTTACGGTGGAATCAAATTCAAATTTTCTTTGAAAAATTTACATGAATTTGATATTGGTCAATATTGATGGTGTTTTAACTTGATATTCCTTGATTTTTTGAAAGAATTTTTTTGTGATTAAAATATAATTGATGACAAAACCTATTTTTTAGTGTAACAAACTGAACATCTGAGCTATTTAAACTGATAGATGTTGTCCTGTGAGAAATAAATTTGAAATCCAATCTCTTTGATTACCGTGGGTTGAAATTAATGTCTTGATAATCTTGTCTTCCGTGGATTTGTGAGACTTTTGACTCATATTATTTCATGTTTAACCACATTTCTTAAAACATAAACATAGCTAATATCCTTGATTTCGATTTATCAATATGACAACTTCAGAGCTAATTACTAATATTGGTTATTTGATATGTTATTATTGACTAGTAATTGAGGAGAATTCATTCAGTGCAACTTCAACAGGTATTGAAGTTAACCACTTCCAATAAAAAGTGGAACTATTCTTCGTGGAGCCATTGCTGAAATATCAAGATTAACTGTCCCAGAGATAAACCGAAAGCAGCTAACACCAAATTATTAAAGAATAGCTAGCTAGTTATAATGACAATAAGAACAGTTATCTATTAGATACACAGCAACAAAGCAAACAAAATCAAAACCATAATAAACACTTGATAACAAAGCATAAAAAACATGTGATATTTCCGGTGCCCCTTCTCTAACTAATGAACTCATGTGACTAATCATGTGATCAATCGGACCACGAGATGTATTATTTACAATGAAACTTATTTATTTGGTATAATATTATTAGACTAGATATTGAGGAGAATTAGATTTAATTATAGATTTTAATCATCATCATAACATTAGAAACATTGAAACCAGAAATATTAGATATAGATTGAGGTTGATCTATGTCTACAAGTTTGATTATTATTATTATTATTATTATTATTAAGAAATATAACTAGAACAGCTTCCCCCAAACTAATTCTGTAAAAACTAAGGAGTTTCTAAAAGTTTAATGCACCAAATTATGGACAGACCCAACTAGAAATAACTTTTTTTTAAACTTTTGTGAGTCATTCTAAGGTATTAAACTACAGTCGTTTGAATTATCATTAATTCATTTAAAGTTATAAATTTTTGATGTTTAGTAGATTTGTTATTGTCTTTTTACCAAACAACCTCTACCTCTTTCCAGTGTTATTTATCAATTTATGTATTTATCATTGACATCTATATAGCTAATATATTCAATAAATATCATTATTATTATTATTATTATTATTATTATTATTATCATTATTATGATAAAGGTAATAGTAAATAAACATTGATGGTGAAATACCTCTAATACTAATATTAGTTATTTGTATTGATTTCTCATTATCTCAGTCAGTGTATCGTAAGAAGAATAGAATATGTTAAATTTAGATTATTTATAACAGAAGTCACTCTGCAGTAATGATATAATACAAAAATAAGAAACTAACTAAAATCTACTAAGATAATCAGCTCTTGTTCCATCCTAGGCCAGTGCTTTTTACAGGTTTTACGAGTTATATTCACATTTTAAAACACTTAAAATTTGACCAATCAAATGACTGGAACATTAAAATTATCAAGTAAAGTTTTCAAATAAGGACGCTGAATTTTAGAAATATTGACATTACTTGACCTTGAATTAATGAAATCTATTAGATAATTTATGCACGACCTCATGAATATTCTTGACAGTTAATAAGAATGTACACAAGATTAGCTGGGACTAACTTCCTGCTACTGTTAAATCATACGATTAATACCATCCTGACAAATAACTCAAGCATATAAATTTTAGTTTAAATTTATATTATATAATATAAATATAGAAATAGAAATATTAAAAGAGAACCTGAAACATGTTACAGTACTCAGAGTTTCTCGCTATCAGATCTTCAGACAAATGACTTATTTCAGCCTGTTCAAATATAAGTCTAGACGAGTTCGGAACGTTTGTTTAAAGACATGTGCTTAGGGGCATTAATGATGGAAAGCTTTTCTGTTAGACATGTTACATTGTTTGTTTTTATTTGTGTAGATTTTAGCTCTGCTATCAATGGACCAGGATATTTTGTAATTATTATTTTTCAATTTAAGTTGCATACATATAACTCATAGAAATAGTTTTCTTGTCAAGTCTCTGGAAGCTAATATCATTTGTATCACTTTGTTACTTTTGATGTTTCTAATCAAATCAATCCACTATGAAATAATATAACACTAGCCTGGAGAATAGTGTAAGAAATTCATCAATAATGACAAGTAATAAAACCAATAGTTACAGGGTTATGATATCTCTGATTAGTCCACAGAATTATCTAATATCTTATTGGAGGCAATACATCTTTTTAAAAGTAAATAAATCTAATGTTTTGTAAGTTATGATTTCTCCAACAGTCTCAAGAATCTGGTACAAAATTATTATTGAAGAGAAGCAATAAAAATCAAATAAAGTGGTTGTAAAGTTGACAAAGAGGTTTTCTAGCTTTATATGTGTATCTGAGCTTTACGGCTTCTCTTTGCATATTCCAATTTTCAGTCACATTTCTGTGGTTTTTGTAAATAAAGTAATGTTTAACCGAACATGACACCTTTATAGGAAAGCTGTAGATAATATCTAATAGCTTTTGAGATAAAATGTTTCGTTTTTTGTGAAATTGCAAGAACCACAGACATTTGACAAAGATAGCTTGTCAGGCAAGGTGATATACGCCAACTACCAGCTGTCAGAATTTATAAACTAAGTCTTTATAAAGTGGCTTAATTATGAATTTTGAAATAATTTGTAAACTATTTATAAGTCAAGGCAAAACCTCAAAAACAGCATATCAAATTATTATCAAAGGTCATGAACATGAATATGAACAAGGTCTCATTGACATACACACAAGGGCAATAACTCTGAAACCGTTCATGTGCTTTTTACCTATTTGAACTAGACCAAGATCTCATCAATATATACACACATGCCATGTTTAATTAAGATTGAATAAAAACTGTAATCTGTATCGTGCCTACAAGTCAAAATCGACTGACTTGTTTCTTTCAAAATCAAGGGCAATAACTGCGAAACCTTTCATTCTATTGTTACTAATTTTAAGCTTTACTGAGATCTCATCAATACATTTCCATGTGGGCGTATAAAAATTACAATGGTGAAAATCCTTGATATAAA